TACTCAAAAAACGATTTGCACAAAATACTTTCACAAGAAAAGAAGATATCTGCAGTTCTATCCATTCGATTGGTGGAAATCGCAGGTTGATAGCGATTATCGTTGTTGAATTATTGAGCTTACACTCCACTCCTCTTTAATTCTGACTCAGACATTTAAGTTACTTCAAAAATAGAATTCAAGACGTTTAAAGTAAGTTGCTTGACGCAGTGTTATAATGTATTGAATAGATCGTCTATTTTTCTATAGATCCGGCAAGTTTCATGCTAATCGGATAACTACTTATTCATAAAACATCGATCTTCACCTCATAAGACCTTTCAAGTATATAGATGAAAACATTCTTGAACAAATTTGATTCAATACTGTTACCAGAATCAGAAACTGTTGACAACTCTACACTACCATGTTTTAAAGCAAGTTATGATCTACCGAATACACTATGACACTATATCAAACAATTCGACTTTTCGTAATAATCAAGGACATCATTTTATGAAAATACTCGAAAATAAAAACTCGATAAACGCTCAAAATCTCATCCTAATTATAGATCACTTTTGTACAACATAGTTAACCTTCCATAGAATTGACAAACATACCAATTCGTTCATCAAGAAATGGGCTAGATCTCTCCACTTCAAAGTTAATGTTCAAAAAAAAAAAGAAACTTCTTCTAGACAAAATGATAAGAACTTCATGAACTCACCTAAATATAAAATACATTCCCACGAAAAATGATTTTTAACTTTAACCAATAATTTGAAGCTTTTGATTCATAATAACTTATCAGTAATTGATTATTCTATTTTTTTTCCTCCATGTTCAAAATAATCATTATAATTTCACGTCTGTGTCTTTTAATCGAGTACATATAAACATCATGCATGTCATGTTGTAATTTCTACATTTCAGATCAAAGACATATAACAATGTATGGGCAGATGCTTTTCCACAAATGTACATTCGATTTTATAAGCAAAATTTTGTTTCAAACAAGTTCCTTATACGAAAAGAAGAAGAAAAAGAAGAAAAAAAAACAGTTCCGCTTCCTATACTCATCTCTATATCAAGAAAAGAAAAAAGAAACACGTAATCATCATCGTTGATCTAGTATGATTGAATAAAAAAATATATATACGCCGAAATATAAACATGATCTTTTTTTTTTTTCATTAGTCAAGACAATAGGGAATGATAATCGTCTAGCGAAAGCATTCACATCAAATAAAACTATTAAACAAACAAATATCATGCCGTGCAAGGATGCTCATCAGGATCGATTAGAAACATCAACATTCTCATTGGATATTCTTTTACAATTGTCAATATAATAATTGAAATTAGAAGTCTTATTCAATTATGAAAAACAACAGACATCGACATATATGATTAAGAAGAAGGTCAAATAGGAAATATCATTTTCTAAATAGAAAATATTCTTGCAACTAATAGAAATTTTTTTTTTTGTTTCAATAATTAATTATATTGAATTTCGTCATTTGTGTGTACATAAACAAACAAATTTATCATATTCAAGAGAAACAAAATTTACGGGAGAAAAAAAGAAGAAAAAAAACCAAGTCACACGATATAAAATAATCTAAATGGTGTGTTGAGATATATTCTTCTTTCAAGCAAAAAAAAAATACAACGACCAATCAGATACTTTTTTTAATGTCGAAGTAAGAGAGAACGAGAGATAATTTTTTTTTCTCTTATCATTGGATGATGAAGAAAAAAAAACAGTTACGAGAGAAACATACACACATCTCATTGACGAATACCAGACATACACTAGTCAGTTCATTTATTAATATATTATCTATTAGTGTATATACAGGTGATTCATTATTTGACTTAAAATCATGTTCAATGTACCAAACGATTATTTTATTTCATCACCATCTTCACCTAGTCTAATATTTAATCATCAACATCATAATACACATTATCATCCATATAATCGTATATCAACGTCTTATTATTCAACACATGAATTTGAAACACATACATTTGATGATAACCATACAATACAAAATTATACTCATAATTCAACATGGAATGAAAATGATACAGGAATAGGAGGACAAACAGGTTAAATAAAATACTTTGTTTTTTTTCTTCTTTGTATTATTTTAAAATTAGATTTAAAAAAAAAATCATTTTAAATAGGTATTCCTCGTGGTTTTAAACGACGTGTATCAGCTAATAAAAAAGAACGTCGTCGTACACAATCAATTAATACAGCTTTTTCTGATCTTCGTACAGCCATACCAAATGTTCAACCAGATACAAAATTATCAAAAATTAAAACACTTAAATTAGCAACAAAATATATTGAATTTTTAATGGATATTTTATCTAAAGATGATCCAACTGCTATGCCAAATACATTCAAAGCTGAAATTATTAAAACACGTCGAGATCATCGAGATTTAATGAAAGTATGATTTTTTTAATATAATAATCGATATATATATATATATATATAAGAAATCCTTGAAAATTTATTTAGTTTGATAGTTCATCATCAACACGTAAAATCAAAGGACGAACAGGTTGGCCACAAACTGTTTGGCAATCGGAATTAAATCGTCATGAAACTTTTCATCAACATGATAATAAACAATAATACACTACCATTGATGTCGTGTTTTTTCTTTTTTTTCTCTTTTGCATGCCGGTGGTGTACACAGATTTGATAATGTATAATATAAATAAAAGAAAAGAAAAGAAAGGTTTAATATCTTCATTTAAACTCATTTTAATGCATTCAAGACATATCTTAATGTTTTATCTATTTCAATTCGACCAAATGAAGTCTATATATATTTATCTTTAGGTAAAAATCATTGAATTTATGACTAAACAAAAATTGTCTATGTATCTGTTTTATTTCTCCAACATCGCGTGAGACATAGACTGAGTAACTTATGTTAAAGTAAGAGAAAGATCGATAGAGGAAATACAATTTTTATAGTATTAAATAGTAAAATGTGGTTGATTAATTATTCCTTTTTCTAAAAAAAAATGTTCTTTTATATCAACAATAGGAAAAGAAAAAAAAAAAAACTAACAACATGAGATCTGTTCAGTATCAATCATTATGATTAAGATAGATAGATAGACAATTATCCATTAGATGTATTGTCTATTCAAGAACAAAATAAAAAAGAAAAAGAATAAAGGTTAATAATCTAAACTAATCAAAAATTTGGATATGAAAAATATAAAATCTTTAAATTTATTCGAGATCATTCTATTGTAAATCGAAACAAATGTTTAAATAATAACATTTCATTAATATTGAAATTTTCAAGATGATGATTACATAATTTGAACAAAAGTAATTACCAAGTCAAATGCCAGATAACCTTTAATTATTAACATAATTATATAAACAAAGTTTAGTAGATCGTCAAACAAGATTTTTATTTCGAAATAAAGTCTATCAACAATCATAAGTGAGATATTTATGTTTTAAGAACATATAAAAAAAAAAATAACATAAACAATTTTCATGATAAATGTACATGCTTATGATGACAATGGATCATTCTTAAATTAAATAATCAGATTGGATTTATAGAACATTTACGTTAGTATTCAATGTCGATAATTAGAGCAAAGATAAAACTAAGCAGTTTATCTACTGAAACTTTATTTTATAGTATTGATACATTGAATTAAATATCGTTATTCTCATATTATTTTAATTTCAAAAAAAGTATACGATTTTGTTATTGATAAAAATAACTCAATTACTGTTAAACGAACAGATTGCGTCTTGTTAGTTTGAAACTCCTGATGCAAAATCGTAGCCGGAACTAGTCTCGTTTTTTGACCATTAGCACTGACAGAATGACTGGTCGTCGGTATCGATCTCATCTCTGAATTAGAGGTTGACAAACAGGAGATTTTCCGTATAATTTCTGGTTTTTCCTCTTTGAGCATCAATCCTCTCAACTGCAAAATCAAATGTTCTAATTCTTATCCTATCCTACCTTGTGGAATAGGCATCCTTACTTTATCCTACGAAATTTTTATCTTTCCCTATCTTAATCCTTACCTAACCAGAAGACTCTAAAAATGGTAAATATCAAAATAACGAATGCGTCAGAATAAATGAGTCTCTCAATATCTATATTAATTTTAATATCTACGGACTGATTTTCACGTCAAAAGATTCAGCGTTCAATTCTCTACAGAATGATAGAAAAATACATATACACCATCGAATCTCTACTTAATTCCGAATAAATTCTTTTTTTTTTCTTCCGATTAGGCTCAAACAAAAAAGACTCAATATGGTAGATTAGTGCTTGTTGTTCAAACATAAGATTCTCTGTTAATATCTTAGATTGATACGTTGTTTTCTCTGTGCTGTTAAATAGGACACACTTTATTGAACCTAACATAGTGTTTTGAACCATTTAATCAGTACTTCATTAGAGAGAATAAAACGCCAACCAATTTGTATATTTGTACAGGTAAGTTGTCAATGATACATGTTCGCAATGTTTGTATAATAACGTGTTCGCTTTTATTCCATTTGTCACACATTTGTCCATAGTTTTTGTAAAGATTTGAATGGTGAATCTTTTTAGACGAAACGTAGTCTGTCACTATTAAAACTAACAGAGACATTGAATAGTTTATTTAGACTAATGTACCTATTGAAACCACGTTATAGATGAGTAGTGTAAGGCTTTTTTTCGTACTCTATGTACTGACTTAGAGAAATTTTCTAACCCGTTATTCTACTGTGATAGAAGATTGAAAGCCAAAAAAAAACTGATTATGTGAATCTTGAATGTTTGTTCACATGATTATTCATCAAAACTACTAATGAAATGATTAAAGATGACATCCAATACGTAAAACACATATATATATATATACATATACCAGATCATGTTATCAAGAAAATAAAGAATTATATTAGTTTTTTGTAAAATCTTTCATCGTGAATTCATTTTATTACTAAAACCTTCGATTTAACAAATAATTTGTTCACATGCAATTCGTTCACGAAATAATGAAAATGTTTCAACTAAAAGATAAGCAACAATGGATCCAATTAATGCACCTAATTGTACATTAACACCAAACCAAAACATTCCATTAGATGAATATGTTCGTACATAATTTGCAATAACCAAACGAGGATAACCCAATAATACATAAGTACTAAGCCATATAATTAAAATTAAAATACTACCTTTAGTTGTATCAACCCATGGTGGACAAGGACTTTTAAATGAAACATACATATCTAATGCAAATGTAAATGATCCAAGTAAAATTAAGATTAATAAATAACGTTTCGCTACAACAGGTTTTATCATTCCAAGTATCCAAACAAGTGTTAACATCCATGGTGAAATAATTGTTCCTAAATAAAAAATTTTATGTCCATAAGGCATTAGAACATACGTAGATATTGAAAGAATCATTCCAAATAAAATTGAACTTGTATAAGTACATCCTAATGAAAGAAGAATATATGATGAAGTTGTTAAAGGTTTTTGTTGTTTATAAATTGGATCTTTTGTGTCTAATGATATATCCGGTATGATTTGATGTGTATTTCGTGAAATAGATGTCCATTGTAAAAGTACAAATGATATCAATGAAATAGTTAAAAGAATAAATAAACATAGAAAATAGATTGATACTGAAAATCGTGCAGTTTCATAAACAGCTTTAGTTGTATTTGTTCCATTCATCGTTTGAATACAACGAATTTGACCGTTACCTTGTACAATTGCTAATAGACTTGGTATAATAGATGTAAGACTTTCTCCAAGAAAAAGTGTTGTTGTAAATTCTTTTCGAAATCGTTGTATATAATCAGCAAATGAAATAGATGATGTACAATCAAGTAATGAAAGAAAAAATGCAAGAATTAATAATGCTGTACTACGTTTTTCATTAACAATGATTGTTGTATATGACCAAAAGAAAATTAATAAAAGACATGAAAGCATACCAATAATTATAACAACATAATTAATTGGTACTGGATTTAATGTACGTTTTCGAGAAAAACATTTAATAAGAACAAGTACAAATGGTGCAATATTACCCAGATTTGTAATCAAAGCAAGATTTGCACCTAATTTCCAACTTTCAGGTTGAGTTAAAATAATTTGTGGTAATTCAGCAAAAATTCCATTTATATCTGTCCATGATGAAAGAAAAAGAAGTGTTAATAAAATATAAGTTACATATTGATTGAGATTCCATCGAGGATACATTGTCTGAAAATATTTTTAATAATAATAAAACAAAATAAAATTAATATATATGAATTTTTTTTTTGTATGTTTTAAGAATAACATGAAATATATTTCTAAGAACAAATTACAATCTTTATCAGTATAAATAAATGCACGCTTTGTGTTATTTTTGTTTTTATCTATACACAAAATATAGTAAATGAAAAATAAAAGTAAATGAACCGACACTCTTATAGAGTCAAGATTATTTTCACGGATGACCTTTTTAATAAATATAATAGTTTTTTTTATATTTCTGTCGCTTAGAATTAAACAAGAAAACAAAATAAAAACCGTTTTTTTTTGTAAAATATAATATTTATTTATTTTTTCGTTTTTTTTGACAAATAAATAAATGAATCAAATATTTTTTCATAGAGTTTATAGATGTTTCTTGCATTCAACAGGTGGATTGGATCCCTAGAAAAAGAAAACAAAAACAAACATTGTTAATTTATAACAATACATAAGATTTTAAATGAATTTTTTTTCTCTATTTAATTAATCATTTAAAAATCTTTTGTTTACTTTATAGTATTGGCATGTAAGTTTAATTAAATTTCTTTCTGCTTCATGTTCCATTTCTTCTGTATGTTTACCATTAACTGTTATCCATGGTACATATTTATGTGGTGGTTGAAGACTTTCTGTTTGAACAGCATACATATGTTGTAATTGATTACCTAATGTACTATTTGTACATGCATCAATTTTATCAAAATCAATTTTTGTTTTTTCTGCACATTGTTTAGCAATAGTTGTTACATCTCCAAGTGTCGATTCAGTACAATTAACGAATGGCTAAATAAAAAGAAAATTTTATAATAAATTTTATTTGTTCTCACATCTCTCTTACCATATATTGTTCAATAGCTGGATAGAAATTCAGAACACAAGTCTAAAATAAATAAATCATATTTATTTTAATACAAAAAAAAAAGTATTCTTCTTTGTCTATTTCACATGAATTAGATTTCCTAAACATTCATCAGGACCATGTTGACAAACGAATTGATAAAGACGAGTTGTTGGATTATATGTTTCATGTGCATTTCCATATGGTACAATAGTTATATTAGTAATATCAAGAATTGTTTGATATGTTCTCAAAAGTTGTGTTGTCATAAAATGTCGACAATCAGGACAAAGTGTTTCATAATAAAGTGTAAAATTAACTTTATCATTTCCATCACGAATTTTCCAAACAAATTTTTGACATTGTTCAGTTACCTGATACAAAAACATATTCAAATAATTACCAGGAGAAAAAAAAAAGGATATTTTCATTTACATACACCACAAGCCTTAGCAATTTCTTTACTTTGACACCATTTAGCTGATAGTTTTGGGCAATTAATTGTTAAAACACCATTGATACAAAAAATAAAAATTGTTGAAAATATAAGCGATGAATACATGATAAAATGAAAGCACGTAATAAAAGTGATAAAAATAATGTTGATAACATTATATATACAAACTTTTCTATGAAAATAAAATATCATCATTATTTAGCATTTTTTTTTAAATTTCTATTCTGACATGAAGAAAAACAAAAAAAGCACCTAATAAAGAATGAAACAGAGTCTTCTACTCGAAATCATATATGATCTATATACATATGTTCTTTTATAAATATGAAAATCGAATCGTTAAATATTAATAAATAATCATGTTAATAATCTTGTCTAATTTCTACGATATATCTAAATAACAACTTACGATTAAGATAAAACGTTGTTTTATTCTTGATGAATTGAAAAACATTCTATCAATAATTTGCTGCAGTATGAGAATAAAAACGAAGTAGTTTATTACCTTTATAAAATACTTGTTGGTTTTATGTCATATATGAGAGAAAAAAAAAAGAAGATCATTGAGTGAAAAAAGTGAAAGAAAAAAACAACAACAAATAAACAATAATAATAACAACAGTTCATAAGTTTTTTTTGCATTGAACAGGTGGATCAGATCCCTAGAAAAAATAAAACATACATTGGTTTTAAACAATCGAAAATAATATCATTTTTACTTTATATGCTTTACAAATAAGTCCAATAAGATCTTTTTCAGCTTGTTTTTGCATATCATCTGTATGTTCACCATTAAGTGTTATCCAAGGTACATATTGATGTGGTGGTTGAAGATTTTCAGTTAGAACAGCATATACATGCTGTAATTGATTACCTAATCGACTATGAGTACAAGCAGTAATTTGATCATAATCAATTGTTGATTTTTGTGCACATTGTGTTGCTACAGTTTCAACATCACCATCAGTTGATTCCGTACAATAAATAAATGGCTGATAGAAAATTAAAAAAATTATATTAAATCAATTTTTTATTTCAAACACAATTTTACCATATGTTGTTCACTTTTTGGATAGAAATTCAAAACACAAGTCTAGAATACAAAAAAAGAAACAAATAAACAGCAATTTTATTTATTTTTATTTATACATATATATGGATAAAATCACAAACTGGTTTTCCAAAGGTCTGCTTATGCCGCAGAGTGAGACATTTTGTTTTACTATCATCTCGAGAGCCTTAATTTGTAGTATTTAGAAATGATTTTTGAATTTCTCATTCAATTATAAAAGAGCTTTTTCGTTTCTATATTCGTACTTATTCACGTCACTAATAATACATAAACTCAGGTTTTTGGAAAGCCTAAGCATGGCCAGGAGAAACTTTGTAGTCTGAAGAGTCTTCTACAAAACGCACTATTTCGTTCTCAAAGAAAAATACTGTTTCAACTTATACTATGTTTTAATCAAAAATGCATGCAGTGAAAATCTTTGTCGTTCTCTTTTATTGTGTGACGTCGCTAATGCCAGTTATTCAAGGTATCTAGAGTATCTGAGCATAGGTCTGCTACATAAAAATTAACTTAAAGAAATCTTAAAAACTAGAGATATGCGCATTGAGCGAAATCACATCACTAATAAATGAAATTTCTCATTTATATTTTTTTTTCGCTTTGATATTTACATGAATTAAATTTCCATAACATTCTTCAGGACCATGTTGACAATAGAATTGATAAAGTTTTGTTTCTGGTCGATATAATTCTCGAGCATTTCCATATGGAA